CACGTCTGAGTGCGTTTTAATTATTGATAAAGCTGAGTGGGACAAAGGCACCGTCTGACACCGTGTATGAAGTCGTTAGCAGGAGTTAGATAACCACTTTCAGATATGTGCTGCAAACTATTTTAAACTAAAGTTGCATTGTGAAACCTGTGTTAATAGCCTCCATAGTATTGATCGTTTATGATTTCAAACACACAAAAAACCCTAAAAAAAACCCACTACTTTTGTGAATATATGGACCTGTCACTCTACTCTGCTTAATGCTTCACTGTGAAACAATATTGTTAATGTACAAAAATAAATATGTCAGCATCGAGAAAGTCAGTAAACACTAAACAGGACCTCAGAAATCAGTATCAGTTAATTTTAAACAATATTCTTACTTTCACCTGTATACAGTACATGGCACATTCAGGCGTTCGACTAAACACTTTTTAGACATAATTCCTGCTCCCGCCCACCTTTTTCTCACATTTGCTGTCCTCATCTTGAATCCCACTGCAATCCAGTCATGTCTTTCATATCCTGGACATGTATTAACATATATGGACGTTGATCCTCCGCCCCCCTACGGACCAATGGCTCTTATAGGTGTTGGTTATTATTATATATCCTGTCTTTGAACTATTTGAGTCTCTGATCTGTGTTGGTGAAATAACAACTTTGTAAAGACTGCTGTTGTGATTTAAGGCTATACTAAGATTTTTTAATTGACTGTACAATAAGTCATACATAAGTCACTAATGCACTTGGACTGAAAAACGTGCCTTGCTATTATACCACTCTTTCTTTCATTTCCCTTTTTATTGTACATAATTATATCCTGCAGAGACTATATTTTTAACCTTTAACATGTCGCACACGTCTGTCAAATGTGACATGTACATTTCTCCAGTGTGAGATCAATAAAGTCTATTTTATCTTGAATCAAATCTTTCCAACCATGAAAACAAACCCACACACAGGTGCGCACTCAGGCATATCGTCGTATGAATAAATGAAACGTCCCGTGCAGAAAAGCCCTCGCTCTGTATGCACGGCCTCATGTTTACTGATTTCACCTCGTCACGTCACTGTATCACCCAGCTGGAAATGTGTGGAGATTTAAGAGTAATGAGGGGTAAGGAGAGCGGAATGTGTGTCAGCCCGTGCATTTATGAGCAATGAGAATGTGGCGAGAAATGGAATGAATCAAGTCTTAATGAAAATCAGGCCGGGATTACGGTCGCACACTGTGGGAATGTCAAAAGTAAAGTTGTAGATCGAACTAAAAGAAAAAAACAGCTCAAAACTACTAACTTAGATCCTTGCAACGTCTCCAAACATTGTTGTACATTTTTCTTTTGTGTTGGTTGGATTGAGTTGGTTTTCAAGCTGAAGTTGTGCGATGGAAGTTTTGACAAAAGCTAGTATTGCCTTCTCCTTTTGAAAGAATAGAGTAAATTTGTCTGATGAATTCTGGGTGTGTTTTGGCTAAACTGGGAGTTACAGAAACTGGTAGTTTGGACTTAAGACATCCAAGTAGCATGAAACAGCATCTGCCATTATGCTCTTTCATGAATTCATAGCAGAAGACACTAATGTTTAGGTTTATTTGTGTATTTTTTAACAACTTCTTTTCACCGTGAGCAAAACCAAATTCCCAGTTTCTGAATTTCTGTTACAGTACTATTATATAATAAACTACTATACTACTACTACTATACTATACTATTATAATTATAAACAAATTATTTAATTGTCGTCCTTAAATATCCTGGATCATCAGCACAGTCTTTAGACCCTTCTGCATCGACAAAGAACAACTCGAAAAGCCACTGGGAAAAAGTGAGAAACCCTGAGATATCCCACCTATAGAGAAGGATCCGCTCCCATGAACGGACTAGGCTGTAGATCCAGGACTCGGTCTGTATAGAACTAGGACTGAAGCTGTACGCTGATGGACCTGATTGGACGTCATGGATCCCAATCATGGCGTCCAATCCTGGAGCTGTGGGGGCGGGTCTAACTGGCATTCAAAAAAAAATCCTTGTTCGTCTCTTAACATCAGACAGTTTCAATTTTTGAGCAACAATATATACTCAATTCTTGGATATGAGTAGATACAGTACGGTTGGATGGCAGTATATGATAATTATAACTGTTATTATTTCTGCTATGGTCTTTGGACACGTCTGGTTTATTTAATTATTGAATCTTTAATTGAGACACAAGAGTCCATATAACACAAAAGCAAAAATCAGGCAACAAAAATACAGGCAAAAAACTAACAAACATACAATATTAAAACAATTCTGTAAAGACAGTTTCTCCAATGCCTCCAGAGAAAAACGCTAGACAGATAACGTGATTTGGATTGGACTGAATATACTCCTCTTCATTTTATAGAGATGTGAGAGCACTGGACAGGCACATCCAGGTCCAATAAGCCCCTCATTTCATTTGAAACATTGTCGTCTGAAGTGAACCAAGGCCAGAATAGACCAATATTACATCCTGCAAATACCATCCAGGTACATCTTGACACCCCGTATAGAAATCCTTTGAATGGCAGCTAAAATCGGTTCTCTTTTGGTGTCGCAGCAATCAGAACATGTTGTGGAAGCAGAAATGTGCTCCTCTGATTAAACGGTGAGAGGCGGCGGACTGAAGAGGCCTGCAGTGGCACAGACTGCACTTGAACACGTGAATGGGTTTAAAATGTAATCTAGTAATTATAGGGAAAGACCTGGCCCAGTTGGTTTGCTGTGATAGTGCCGGGGTAAAGCGCTGGACGATAGGGAATACTTTGAGCTGGGATTTGGATGCAGATTGTAAAGTTGCATCAATATGGATTTGGTGCAATGTGTTTTCTTTGTTCCTGATTTGATAAAAAAAACATTCCATGAGGAATCTCGAACACTGTGAATAGACTTACAATGAGTTTATTGTCACTGTCGGAAGTTAAAACAATGAGTGACTGTTTTAGTTATGGCTCTATATGCTAATCCTTTTTCTATCTAATCTATTTTTAACTATGTAATTTATCATGTTTTGGTGTATTACGTGCTGCTAAATTGAAATTTTACATCAAATATTACAAGGTCTTTTAGGAATATGGACATTTGAATATGGGAATGCCCAACTCATAATGTCATTGACTTTCCTGATGTGTTACTTGACAATTGTTTTTTTAGATGAAAAATTAGTCCTGTATTAACAAGGAAGAAGCCACTGGTCAAAAAAATATAAAAAGACAATTTTTCTAATTTGAGCAATTGAGGATAAGTGGTTGAAATGTATTGAGATATGAAGGAAGAATTGGAAAGCTTGCAAGCCAGAGAATCCTAACTTTGACGCATGGGGGTGGTAGTCTCATGTTGTGGGGCTGATTTGTTGCAGGAGGACCTGGTACACTTGATGTACAAAATATGGAATTATGAAGAAGGAACAGAATGTGGAAACAACATATCAAATACATCATTTAAAGTTTAGGAGGAAATTAACAATGGCTCTACTGTAAGCAAACGGCCAATGTAGTTACAAAGTAAATATTTTGGAGTGGCCATCACAGAGATGTGAACTCAAACCCATAAAGAATGAGGGCAGAACTTATAGGTCATGTCAGAGTGAGGTGGCCTACAAACTTCACTCACAGATCTGCCAGGACCAAACATCAAGACAGAAGCCAAAAGAGAAATGTGTGGAAGGATACGCACAAAGTTCGACCTTAATCAGTAAAACTAACACAAATCATTCTGAACAAAATACCTACAGTACCTCTCTCGATATTGTGGCAGTGAATAAGAAGATGTAATGCTGGGAAAAGAATGGACCCATTATATATATTTTTAAACAATATCGGTTGATGCATACTGTGCATCTAAATACCTTTGAGTCCGAATCTTGTATAGACTTAGTTCTTACGTGTGACTGATTATAGAAATGTCCTCAATGTGTGTTCTGTTGTGTGTCTATGTGCTAAATTGATTAACTGCAGTTTTCAAATCAACAGTGAGTGAGTGTTGAAAAAAACAAAAAATCTTAGTTCGGACGTTGAATTGCCAAATCAAGAGAGGAACATTATGTTTTGCAAAAAAGTGATAGCAATCAACAGCTTTTCCTTTTGGCTTGAAAACCAACAGATTCTGTGCCAACTGATTGAGAAGTTTGGATTAAAAAAAAAGTATTTTCTATTTGAATTAATTATACTTCATTTCCTGATTGATTTAATTTGAATAGAATACTTATAATGTTCAGTTTCCATACCTATTTATGTAATGCTAATACTGTATTATTATTTGAGTACAATCACAGCCGCCCCACTGTAGCTCCTGGTGTTCCCAGAGGTCTCCCATCACAGTACTGACCAGACTTCCACATCCAGGTGTTATCGGTCCAGCTGAGGTGCATTGAAACAAAAGCCTGAACAGTCTTTCATGTTGAGTTCAAAACAAGTTTCCGTTTCACCGCTCATTTAACTTTGCTTTACTTTACTTAAAGGAGCTATAGGGATCTCCCAGTCACGTGACCCATAGCCGCGTGTCAGCCATTTTGATGGTATCCGTCCGCCGACTCCGCAGCAATGGAGCTAAGCTAGCTACTTCAAAAACTCTCTGGAACTACATGAAAACTGAACAAAGAATTCTGAACATCAGTGGTGAGGAACTAATTTATTTACCGAACCTAAATCCATCAGATCCTCTTCAAATGTGTCCTAAAATGTTCTTTTCATGTTAATGGTTACTTCCCGGTTTATCACGATCGCTTTTTGTTACATGAAAACAGTATTTTTGTCATGAAAACGTTAACAAATAATTCTGAAAACCTCTGTGCATTTGTGTTAGGGATGTATATGTGTACTGTATTCTCTGATTAACATTTAATGCTGTTGATTGATTGATTGGTATTTGTTTGAGCGTGGCTAGCTCGGCAACTGCACAGCATTGCTCCGGCATGATAGGAAAATCTCGATACTACCTGTAGAATAACCGGCGGTTTCGCATTTCTACACCGTCAAAATGGCTGCTCCAAATGGCGTGACGTCACGCGGGACGTCCCTGTGCCCATTTCTGCAAGGTTTGAATGTTTAGCACCTCCCCCAACTCGCTCACAGGCTTCTCATTTCCCCCACGCTCTCATTCCACGCAGTCATCTAGTTGTATTTGCGATCTGATGCTAACATTAGCATTAGCGCAACTTAAGCTGTACAGCAATCACTGATGAAATGGTACAAAAGCAACGCACTGCTAACAAAATATATAACTGAAAGATTACCACTAGTTCCGCGTCCGAATGTAGTCCGAGCATAGATAGTCCGAGCGTAGATAGTCCGAGCATAGATAGTCCGAGCATAGATAGTCCGAGCATAGATAGTCCGAGCATAGATAGTCCGAGGCGGTCCCGCAGGTCTCTCCCATAGACAAGTCTCTCCAGAGGATACGATGTAAGCTAGCTATGTTCAGGGCTTGATTTCTTCTTTGATCATTTTCTTAGTAGTAAAATAAATTGGGTATAACATCTTTAAGGAGTTTTTTGTAAACTTTTCAGCATCGTGGTCATCATCATTTCATCTCATCAGTGAAATCCCTGCTTGCTTCTGTGCTCTGGCCAAGGCAAAAACGCTGCAAATAATAATGATTAGTTCTTTCATCCATAATAATAATAAAAGCAATGATAATGTTAATATGAATGTTATTGTATTAAGTCCAGTAGTATTGCTGCTTAGTGACAACAGATGGAGAGATTTCAACGCGACGCTGGGGCATAAGCCTTTGAGTTTGACGAGCGCAAATTGAACGAGGAAATATCTGCTAGAGCCTAGACTGTAAGAATCATCTCCTGGAGCTCGGACATGTGGGTTTTTACAGGAGTGGAGTCTGATTAACAGAGCCAGCGAGGCATAGTCAGGAGAGCTGTGTGAATCCTCTGATGTTTCTATTTCTGAAGCAGATTTGGACCCCAGTGACCCCCAGTGGGAAAGTCTACAAGGAAAAGTTTAAAATCAAAGTTTATCTCTAGCCTCTAGTCATGAGATAGTATTGCTGTGAATGTTACAGGTTTGTTGCCTGTGGGTTGCCATGTAAAAATGTGCAGTATTTGATCACAGATGGGTTCTTCACAAATAGAACAACCTACAACTATGGATAAGTCAATGTGGGACTTTTTTACATAATCAAGTGCAATTATTATTTCACTGTCTGACTTTTGTGAATGTGGATGAATGAGTGTTTGATTCTCTGATCTGAATCGAATTTTGGTTTTGTCCGAGATAACCACTGTTGTGATTGAGGAAAAAACAAGACTACATTTAATTGAATTGATCAGAATTTCTTCCTATAGTTTACCACCCTAGGAGTTGGACTTGGTGCATTAAAAAGTTATAAGATTATTGTGTTGCTTTTGACCTGTATGTGTGCACTGTAAGTACACTAGAGTAAACTTGTATTCGCAGTCAGGTTTGGTGGTATAATTATTTTCATTTTTAACCATATGCGTTTAACTTTTTTTTGCTTTTATTTTATAATTAATATTATCATTATCGGTCCAGGTATACTTGTACTTCACTGCAATCATTTATCCAAGGTATCCTATCGTAATGGTGCTGCCAAATGAAACAAAATGGACCCGTTTACAATTGCTAAGAGTTTATTTATGGACTTATTTGTTTGTAACTGGAGCCCTTGTGTGTTTTTTCTCCACAGTGATCTGTAACTTCCGCGGCTCGGTGAACCAAGGCCTGGCTCTGGAAGTGGGGGAGAGCGTTCACATCCTGGAGAAGTGTGAAGGTAAGACTGTGCCGTTGTTTAAGTCGTTGTGTGTTAAATCCTGGGTACCTGAAAATACAGAGACATTTTTATTCATCCCTAACATGTAATCCATCTACACAAAAAAATCTCAGCTCAATTCGTCTAATAGTTTATGGAAAATCCTGCCTACAGACAAACAGACATCTGGACATCATTACAATACATACTGTAGATGTGGTTGTTTTTCTCAAATGTTTTATATGTATGAGTGGTCAAAAACATTGAACCTAAATATGTTTGACCACAGATGTAAACCTTTGATTCAAATGGGACTAACGACGCATTATGGTCCGACATTCTACAGAACGAATCAATAAAATCCACTGTGGGCAATTCTATGTGAACCGTGGAATTGTTGGTGATAATTTGCACTGATAGAAGTCACACTGATCCGGATCGGGCAAACGAGGGCAGGGAGAGGCAGGAAGTGTTGTGTTTGTGGAGGATGTACGATGGAGGAGGGAGGAAGGAGAAAAACTGCAGCTGTTCAAGCTTCTATACGGGTTGTCAAAGGCCGAGGGGCGAATACGAGCAAACAAGCAATGGTTTGGACACACACAAACAATTTTGGGCTAAAAAAACCATGGTTTTGTTCTCTCTGTGATCCTGGGATTTATATTTTGAAAAAGTCTTTGTGAATTCATATGTGAGCCATAGGGATTGAGCACTTCTTTATTTTGCCTTAACCTCCAGTCTGCCCCTGAAACAGCACAAAGCTAATGCCGTTGGAACAAATGCCCATATTAGGAAATTGGCTCAAATCAGCTTCTTCTGATTTCGGCCAAAACATTGGGTCAGCACTTGATCATTCCACTCCTGACATACAGCCTATGGGGGAGAAAAAAAAAAAAAAAAACACATTGATCTTGAATAAAAAAAACATACCTCAAAGTTAATTTAGTTTACTAAATATTGTTCAAAAATAAATGATTGTTGGATATTTAGAAATGCAACATACATCATTGGTCAATTCATCTTAATATAGGGCGACAGTGGCTCAGTTGGTAGAGCATTGGCCTTCGGGCCCCCTTCTCCACCGACTCCCACTGATGTCTGCTGTCATTGTGTCCTTGGGCAAGACATGTAACCCACTTTACCTTTAAAGAGTGCAGAAGAGATGTTCGCTGCTTGCCTTGATGTGTAGGTGTATATGTATATGTGTATATGTATATATGTGTTTATGTGTACATGTGTATATGTGTATATGTGTATATGTTTATGTGTATATGTATATGTGTATATGTGTATATGTATATGTGTACATTTGTATATGTGTACATTTGTATATGTGTATATGTGTATATGTGTATATGTGTACATGTGTATATGTGTATATGTATATGTGTATGTGTATATGTATATGTGTATATGTGTACATGTGTATATGTGTATATGTATATGTGTACATGTGTATATGTGTATATGTATATGTGTACATGTGTATATGTGTATATGTGTATATGTTTATGTGTACATGTGTATATGTGTATATGTTTATGTGTATATGTGTATATGTGTACATGTGTATATGTGTATATGTATATGTGTACATGTGTATATGTATGTGTGTACATGTGTATATGTGTACATGTGTACATGTGTACATGTGTACATGTGTACATGTGTACATGTATATGTGTACATGTGTACATGTGTACATGTGTACATGTGTACATGTGTATATGTACATGTGTACATGTGTATTTGTGTACATGTGTATATGTGTATATGTGTACATTTGTATATGTATATGTGTATATGTACATGTGTACATGTGTATTTGTGTATATGTGTATATGTACATGTGTACATGTGTATTTGTGTACATGTGTATATGTGTATATGTATGCATCAAACTGAAATGTCCCCATTGTGGGACAAATAAAGGACCTTCTTCTTCTTCTTCTATTTGTTATTTGAAGTTCTGAATGTCAACTCAAAAGCAGTTTATTAAAATAAACACAAAATTATTACTTTTTATATATTTTTATTTTCCAAAACGTTATGAATTTGAAACTTGAATTCTGTTTTGATTCCAGTACATTTCTCCTCATAGTGTTGTGTTGCTCTGTTGTGTAGTCCACTGTCCCTGTAACTCCTTGATTCAGGGCAGTGGGCAGAGGCAGATAATATGGTCGGGGATTACTCGGGTCAACCGGGGCCAAATGCCATAGCATCTGTTACCATGCCAACGCAGTGCACTCCTCTCTGATTATCTAGAACAGGCAAATTACATTCTGTTAAACAAAACTGTAACTCCACAGATGCTAACCTCTCTCAAAGTATTTACATAAACCAAATGAAAAGTACCATGGCCCCTTCCAACGTAGAATCAACAAGGTCTAGACTTAGACAAAACAAATCCTGACATCTCAGGGGATTTACTGCTTTAAAACTGCTTGAAACACGCACAGCCAAATCTGTCATTTTTGGAAATTACGATTAGCATTGTCCATCTGTAAACAGTCGATGGGAAAAGCACGCTAGAGATCATTTGAGTAGGTTTTATTGTCAATGATTTGAAAACAAAAAACATGAACTCAGAAAAATAGTGTTCGCGTTCATGACTTTAATCTCCAAAATACAGCAAAGAAATGTAGGTATTTCATGACACTTTGAAGCAACTGTGGTTAAAGTTCTAACTCATCATTCAACAATATGCTCAAGCCAGTACTTTTCCACAGCATGTTTTGATTTCTGAAGGCCAAGCTACTCGCACTGTGGCAAATGCTGATCGGAGGACTCCATTCCTCCATGCTGTATATTAATTAGATAAGAGTTCCTTTATTCGTCCCACAGTGGGGAAATTTTGATCACTTGCAGTCTGTAATATTGTTGTTCGTGTTCGTGCTGTCTCTACCATCGACAATAAAACATGTCTTCTGTCTGAATTAATGACACAATCCCAGACTTTTCCCATCTTCTTCAGAAAAAAAAATATCTGCCTGCACAACTATGAGTCTGTAGATGATTTTTAGAGTTTTATTTATTTATAAAACAGTAGCTCAGTTGGTAGAGCATTGGCCTTAAGGCCAGAAGGTCGTGGGTTCAATTCCCACCTCAGCACCTTCTCCACCGACTCCCACTGATGACTGCTGTTGTTGTGTCCTTGGGCAAGACACTTAACCCCACTTTGCCCAAAGCCCCCACTGAAAGATCAAGGCTATGCTCACAGTCAGAGAGCAGCCGTCCTCCTGTGGACTCACCACCTGCAGAGGGTCAGTGAGGGGCTGGTGCTATGAGACTTGGGTGGCATCTCTGACTGCCACCCCCCTGACCCAGAAATGGATTAAAAGGTAGAAAATGGATGGATGGATGGATTTATTTATTTGATCGGGTCAACCCACATTAATGAACAAGTTGTACACACATTGTAAGTGTGCCAGATTGTAGCAAAACTGCTAATTTACACAGTTAACTTTAGAACTCTCATGAATGTGTAAAACATGAATTTGAAGTGCTGCAAATATTTAATAAATAACAAAGTGAGCTCATCATGCTAAAGTTGGAGATTTTAGGCTTCTTTCCATATTATGCTAAAGATAGAGATTTTAGGCTATTTTTATATATACATGTTTGTGTCTTAACTGTTGATTCTCTGATCTGTGCTGGTGATTTCACTGGGTTTGTTAAGTCCCCTGAGATGACAGCTGTTGTGATTTAGCACAATACAAGAATAAATTGTATCGTATTGTATTGTATTTTAAAATAAATGCTGCTAAAATCTGGAACAATCTTCCTGAAAGTGTGAGACAGGCTTCTATCTGACCATGTTAAAAACCAGATTAAGAACAGTTGTATGTTTAGCTGTGCATACAACTGAGGGATTTTATATTTTTATCTTTCTCTTTAATGTACAGTGATTATTGATTTAATGCTTTCTTATTTTGTCCAGCACTTGGAGTTGCCTTGTGAATGAATTGTGCGACACAAATAAACTTGCCTTGCTTTTTATTTTAGTGTAGAGCTATTGTAGTGTAGGGTTTTTTGTAATTAAACGTTCATCTTGTGCGCCTCATTTTCCACTGTTCTGTTTAACTTGTGAAGCAATACTGACATATCTACACTGTGAGATGAATGAAGAATCTTAATCATTCTAGACATTTAGCCTTCTCTGGACAATTTAATCTCCATCAACACTGGACTCATGCAAAGTTGGCCGATTGCGTAACCTCACCGCTTCATTTTGAAATATGGATTGCCGCTGTAGCACTTTAGGAAAGCATTAGACTTTTATTACAGCTGGGGTTGAGATGCAGATCTGGGTTTGAACGGCTGCGATCTCGAGGGCCCGTCCACACAGACTCCCACTGTGTCATTATTTTAAAGAGGTTTTCACGTGTGTTATAGCCGCAGGGAACAACAGCGGCACGCACGCTATTGTCTGGGTCCTGCTCGAGTGTGAAGTGAGCGCCTAAAGATCCCGGCACAAGAGAGTGATGTGAGAGACGGATTATTTAGATCAACTCGAAAGAAAGAAAAGCAGCAGATGATATTTGCACGAGAACTGGATTTTAGTTTTGGAAGTGTGCTCAGGATATGTAACTTTTTCAATTGTTTCTGTTTATATAAAAAAAGTGCAAGTAACAATAGCAACACCATGTTTACTTGCAGCACTGAGCATTTAGCTTTTCAAAGAACTGAATTTGGTGCATTTCTTCTTATATTCACCAGCTTTAGCTTGTGATTTGATGGATTTTCGTTTTGGAATTGTAATTATTTTGCTTATGTACGTTTTTGTTTTTTACAACTATTTCTCTATTTTATACATGTAGTTTATATCAATGTCATTATGTTTATGAAATGTCTGTGATGCTAGACCGGTTTAGAGCCCTCTCAGCTTGGATTAAGTGCTAGTTACCATAGAAACACACTGTTTACTTGCAGCAGTTTTGCTGTTTTTCATTTATATTAACCAGTTGTAGCATGTACTGTATTAAAGATAAATAATTCTATTCTAATTCTATTCTAATGGGAGC